AAAAAAAAAAAAAAAAAAAAAAGACATATAGCTGAGCTACGCGCTAAAAACACGTGGGCGCAAAACCTCTTGCTGTGAAAGCAATGGCAGATAAAAATTAGTGAAGCGAAAAAAAAAAAAAGGAGCATTACAAAAAATTTGCAAACTTATGAATTGCACATTCACGCAAGGACTCCATTTGGGAAAGCTTCAAAAAATGCTTTAACAAACCGTGTGCAGGTGAATGTATGCACGTGGGGGAAGCATCGAGGAAAAAAAAAAAAAAAAAAACAAATTTCACATTTTGCAGAGTAAGCATTTGCCCGTTTTCTCAAAACGTTAATAGAGCATCATACCTTGTGGCGAAATAGGGGGCCCCCGCAAGGGAACGCAAAGAGACAGTTATTCGGCCTTACACTACAAAAGGAAGCAACACGCATGTCTTTTTTTTTTTTTTTTTTTTTTCTCTACTTCACGCGACACCAATGCATACATAGAGGTGTGTACACGCACACATGGACATACACGTGTATGCGTACCCGTGGGAGGAGAAGGTACTGCCCCAAACGCTGCTCTAACCCTTTAGGCTCCCCTCAATTTGTCTTACCCCTCAGTTTCCTGCTGGGACGGCATCTCCGTTCTGTTCATTTTTTTTATCCACTGTGCAAATTTTTATTTCGCACTTCTTCCTCTTTACTCGTTTTAACTGGCATAAGTACCCCCCTGGGTTACTTTGTAGGGGCATTTATTGGTGTCCGTCGATTATTGCCTCGTTCGCTCCCCTCACTTTTTACCATTTCGCTACTGCGGGAGGGGGGTAATAACTTGTAAACGGTACAACACTTGGTTCATTCTTCTCTTAACACGCTCACCTGTTGAGGGAATTTCAAATATAGTTTCGCTTTTTTTTTTTTTCTTTTTCCCCCCCCATGTCGGTTTAACCCTTGGGGAGCTCTTGCCCATGTGCCCAATTTGTAACACCTCCTCCGGTGCACTTAAAACGGTACACAATCTGTTCTGCAGTTCCTGCGAGCAACATGGCATATTTCCCATGTGTACGGCGAAATGACCGCATGGTATCTGCTGGTGCTTTAACCTAGGTCCAAAAAATATCCTCTTCACTGGAACATCAACCATTACGGGTCACAAATGTAATAGTTCTCTCTCACCCTCGCGCAGTGTAACTGTAATGGTTTTATTTCCTCTCATTCCGCATTTTTTTTTTTTTTTTTTTT